GGGGGGGGGGGGGGGGGGGGGGGGGGGGGGGGGGGTACTTTTCATTTTGGGTTACTGCAGCAGCTCAACGAGTAGCGCACGCCCAACTCCCAACTCAATGAAGTCGATGGGTATACAAATTGAGTGACAACATTTTGCTTTTAATGCATAAATATCGAGAATATGCAAGAAGCGCTTTGCTGGCTGGGTGTCGTCATTGCGCAACGTATGTATGTATGTATGCATACATAAAAATTGCCTTGCAACATCCCTTATTGCCTGTGTGTGGCAAGTCCCATTTGTTAAGTTTGATTATTTAGCAGTGAATATGAGCAGATGATTTTATTGTTTTAAAGCTGTAAATCTTAATAAGCTCAGCATGACAGGACAGAGTAGGAAAAAAATGATGAAAATTAAGTCTGCATGATAGATGATAGGGCGGAAGAAAGTAGAAAGCGGGCATACATAACAACTTATGGTTGTAAATGTGTAAGCGAGTTAGCGTAAAAGGTGGTAAATTTCTACTCTGGTAGCTAAAGGAGGGCATTGGACTTCTTGGTTATCTCATCTGCCGATTCAAAAACCCACTTTCTCAACATATTTTCAATATATTTTCTTGAGGGCGCTTCTCAATCAAATTCTGAAATAGAGCGTTCTTCTAAAAAAAAATTATATGAGATAGGGCGTTCTTCAATCAAATTCTGAATAGAGCATTTCCGAACTGGCTGTCGAGATAGGTCGATATTCCACTCTGCTTTCGATATGTTCTTTAAATATTTTTTAAAAATTTTTTAGTTCTTTTCTTTGTATAAAGACACTTTAGCTGATATAAATGCTACCGCCAACAACTTTTTACGATCGCAAAAATTACCAACCCATTGGCGGCTTCCACTGATGCGGTGGCGGCTTCTTAGTAGACGGCGCCAATAGATAAAAATCGTAGAATTTCAGACAAAACCAGTAAAAAGGTGGAGAGAAAACACGAATAATTTTTCTTCTTTTTTTTGAGGTAATTGCGCATGCGCGCCTACGCACCGCCACCCACAACAGTGTGCAGGCTATGCCTACGACGGCGAAGCGGTGACTCTGCATTTGCGCACTTAATCGCGCAAAGATACGCAGCGCCATCAATTTGTCGATAAGCCAGAAATTCAACGTTTCTGCAATTAAAGAAAATAATATTTAACTGCGTAAGAGGCGAATATATTTTATGCGCAGAAAATCAAAGAATTAATGTAAAACAGTGGGGAAGTGAAAGCTTTGGCATTGAAAATTAACAAAAAAAAAAAATCAAAAATTGTGTGTGTGTAGTGAATATGTACATAGATATATATACGATAACACAAGTTTACCGAAATAAAAAAATCGTACGGCCTGCGACATTTTTATATGAATTCTAATGTAAAATTTTTCGCTGAATTCGAATACGAAATCAGTGCTTAAGGAAGTACAAATGTTTTTGAGTTATGACAAGTTCAATAAGCTTCGCTTATATAAAAACAAAATTTCGATATTGGCCAACCAGTATCTATATCAAAAAGGTCTCAAGATTCGGAAATTTGACTATATGTATTTCAAAAACTATTCCACTTTTTTATATTTTGATTTCATTTAATGTTTCAGCAGAGAATTTTAATTAGGAAATAATGATCAGATGGCACAGGTCGGATTTCTTGTCGACTAGTGTAATGAGCATAAAAGTGAGGAAGCACACGTAGGCGGTCTACTCCAGCAGTCATGTATGTATGTAGTTGCATCGCTTGGCAGCAGTCGCCATAGGCACTCAAAAACAGAACGCGGCTGGCGCACGTGCATTGGCAATTGTTGTTGCTGTTGTTGCTAAAATGCATAATTTCCTGCCGCCAAGTGACTAACAGCATTGGCAAGCGGCTATGAAAACGCATAAATGCATATTAGCGCATAAGCACACTTACAACAACAACAGATTATGTATTGTATTACATACAAACAAACATACATACAAACATACATACATACATACATATGTGCCATACATTTGTATGATCAAGCGCACAGTGCCAGCTTTGGCTGCGTGCTTGGCATCGTTGATGTGCCAATCCACCAGTGAGTGGAAGAATGAAAATCAATTTTAGTAATAAAAAAATTCAACAAAAAATACGCGAGAATTCGAACAAATCGAAGCGTAGCTGCAGCGGCTTAATTCAATGCGCGTAAAATGCAATTGACGTTCGTACAAGCAGCGTAAGCGAGACAAGCTCGTAAAGATGATGATGAATTACAAACAAAGCAACAAATCAAGTGGAGTGGAGAGCCGAAAAAAAAATAGAAGAAAAAACAAACCCAAAATAGTCCACCGAAATTCCCAAAAAGATTACATACATAAAAATTCATGTGTGCATTAAGCCGGGTCGATTTTCATATCAAAGAAAAAAATTGCACTTACTGTCCGCAGTTTGAAAGCTTACATCGAGTAGATTTTGGTGTAGCCACTCCCTGTAAGCAGTTAAAATGGTTACAAACTTTTTTTCGCGATCCAGCCTAACGTACGTCTGCATTTTGCATCTTTTTTTTTAATCAATTGCATTTTTTTGCCATACATGGAAGCCTTCTTCAAACTACACACTTGACACCAATTCACACCTCAACAGACGTCAATTAGACAGTTGAAAACATCCCGTCACGTAATGCAAATGCACTACGAGGCAGTAATCACTCAACAATATATTTGTACATATGTATGTATGT